TTTATATATATATTAATATAAGTATCATTTTAAAATAATTAAAGTTCAAGCAAGTTTTTAAAATTTGATTTTTCTATTCCTTTATCGTACAACGTGTCTTAACAAAAAACTTATGCAAAATATAATCATATGTATACAGATTTTTTTACAGTCGATCAAAAATCATCATACATTATACAAATGAGAAGATACTTTTTCAAGACATACGTGCCTCCTGCAGCTAAAGTCTAAAATAATTCATTTTTATTAAATGATTCAAACTCATTTTATATGCGAGATCAATTTTAATATGTAATTTTTTTATGGCTTTATAACTGCAACATTGTATCACTTTTTTAACTCGATAGACAATTTCGATTGTATGATATCAATAGTTGCTTTCCATTTACATACAATTTGAATCTAAAGTGAGTATTTCATACTCAAATTAATGACGTCATTATTTGCTTACTACGATAAAAAAGTTGAGGAAATGAGTCGGGAATTGTGCAGCATTTTCGAGACTACGTGGTGAAGATACAGGAGACAGTTTTGAGCAATCTCACGCAAATTTTACATGACAACATAAGTTCATAATCTGATTTTTAAAATGAGTTTATAAGACTTATAAAGATCTCGATTTTTCTATCTTGTGCAGATTTTAGACAAACTCAGTTAAATCTCACTTGTCAGAATGCAAAAGGAACGCGCATTCAACGAAGTTATGACGTCACAAGTAAGAATTATCTGAGAATCGATGTAAATGGAAAGCAACTAATAATACCGTCCAATGCTAGAACGTTAATATTGACGTCCAAACTAAATAGTGATTAATTTTAATATTATCAAATATTAAAATTAATTACCAATTGAGCAAGAGATCTTGAGAATCTTACAGCGAACATAATTCGGGAGCATAATTTTTACTTAGTAAAACACTTCAACCAAGAAAAAAAAGAACAAACCTTCAACCTTCCATCTGTGAAAGCTTGTCCTCCAAGCTGTCCTGGCTATCATTAGTATCGTTCAAATTGATAGTGTTATTGCCCTGTGACAATTCAATGACGGATTCGGTCAGATTATCGCTCGCTGATTTTTGTATATCTAAAACGTCGTCTGATGCCTCAAAAATCGAAGCAGTTTCCGAAAGATCTTGAGTGTCCAGTGCGATTGTGCCGGAGTCAGGTTGACTCTCCTCTTGTACGGCGATGATCTGCGCAGATTCCTCCACCTCAGGATCCAATTTGATCTCCGTTTCCTGCACAACTTCAACCTCCATCGCCGTCTCCTGCTTAATATCCTCTTCGTTTATTATGCTGTTCTGATCCAACTGCTCGTCAACTATCGCAGAGTCAGTCTTTCGTTTCACAGACGTACCTGGCGTTGACGATGTTGCAATACCAGAAATTTGCGTGAGATTACTTAAAACTGTCTCCTGTATCTTCACCACATTGTCGGTAGTCTCGAAAATGCTACACAATTCCCGACTCATTTCCTCAACCTCTGATGTGTCACCGGGCTTTACAATCATGTAACGCTTATTCGAGTACACCTTGTTACTCGAGATAGTTGGACCCTTCTTCGGAATTGGTGTACTACTTGACGTAATAGTACTATTACCGCTCACTGTACTTTGAATTTCTTTCTGAACATTTTCTAACGTTTCCTCCACGGTAGGACTCTCTTCTTTTTTCAACAGAACCTTCTCCGTTTCTTCCTTTTCTACTTGGATCAAATTGCTTTTTATCGTTTCCGTATCATCATTATATTCCCGCTCCTCATCATATATACTTTGTTTCCGTTTCACAAATACTCTCTTGAGCGGTAGCTGCTGTTCATCCTCAGACTCGTCATGTCGCTCCGGTATCTCATCAATCGTCTCGTAGTCCTGCTGCGCTTTCTTCGCCTGCAACTCCTCGATCTTCAGCCTTTGCTGCTCCACTCGCTTCTCCAATTGCTCCAGCTTCTCCTTGGTTTCCTGATCCTGGCCCTGAGTGATCAACTGCGTTTTTTGCGAAACGGTCGAACTCTTTGGCGTACCGCTGCTGGATGACGCCGAAGTCTTCAATTCGAACTTCTCGTTCGGAATAACATCTGTTTTTTGACGTTGTTTCGCGGATTGTAATACTGCTTGTATCAAATTCTGACTCTTATCGAGCGGTAGTTTAGTTACTACTCGCTTCACCACATTGCCAGCCGGTAATTTCGCCAGTTCCGCAGGATCTATCGTGGTACCATCGGGATTCATAATAACTTCACGAGTAGTGTCACCCTGTCGGATAATTCTACGAACAATCACCCGTCTGATCTTATGCGTGCCGGGAGTACCGCTCAAAGAAGAGTCTCCGTCCTTGACACTAGGTGTACTTGGTACTGATGTGCTTCCTTCGTTACTACTTCCTGCCGGTTTCCTCGTCACAATTCTTTTAATCACCTTGATGGTTTTCGGAGTGGATGCTGAAGTCTCTGTATTATCATTATCTTTGCGACTTTCTTGAGAAGTGATTTGCGATCTTATCGTAGGTGCTATTGATTCCTTAGACTCTTGATCGACATTCGATTGGTGCTTTAACGGGATCTTGTGTTCCTTGAATACTGAGGCAACGATCTTTTGCACTTGCGCCTCAGTGTCATCCACGTGGCTGCCCTTGGGGCTCTCCTCTTTCTGCGATGACGTGAGACCTTTCGAGCTGCTCTGAGAAGTAGTTTGTTTCGTGACTTTTTGCTCTTGAACATCACGACGCTGGATGGGCATTAACGTTTTAATGGTCTTCTTCACCATGTTGCCATCTTTTCCACGTACGAAAACCACCTTGCGTTCTTCCTTTTCTTGTCTCTCGGATTTCTCTTCTTTGTCTTCTCTGTCCTCCTCGTCTTCCTCTTCTTCTTCTTCACTTTCTGAGGGCTTTGGCGGTTTTGGTAACTTTTTTACAATGTACGCCGGCGGCTCGTAATCATCGTCCCCATCAGAATATTGATCCTCTTCTTCTTCTTCTTCATCAGAATCTAGTTCAACATTCTTTTTATTGTCGGGCTGCAAACCGTCCGGGCCCATTTTCTCGCCCGCCTCGATGTGCTGCTTGATGTGAGTAACATAATCGGCACGATTACGACATGATTCCTGACAAACATCACAGGTGAGGCCCATACCAGTGCGCTTCGTGTGTGTCAACTGGTGCACCTCTAGACTTTCCTTGCGTTTGAATGCCTTACCACAGTCCTCGCACACATGGCGCTTCTCCACCGAATGGGTACGCATGTGTCTAGTTAAATGATGCGATAGCAGGAACGTGCGAGGACACAATTTGCACATATATGGTCGATGACCAGCATGGGTAGATAGATGTCGGGCCAGTTTTGTGCTAGTGTGGAAGGCCTCCTTACAGTAGTCGCATACAAATGTTTTATCTTCATTATGCAGCATTTCGTGGCGTTCCAAGCCCTGTTTGTATTGGAAACGTTTGTTGCAAATGTTACATTGGAACGGCTTCTCTTTCTTGTGTGCCGAATCCTCATGTTTTTCGAGCTCCTCCGTGGTGAAGAATTCGCGATCGCAATGGGGACAGGCGTAACGCGTCTCTTCTCTGTGTACTTTCTCGTGACGTTGCAGCTGAGTCAGCCGCGAAAACTGCTTTTGACAAATCGAGCACGTATACGGCTTTTCTTCCGAATGTGTACTCATATGTTTACTCAGATCGTATTTGGTAAAAAAGTGTCGGTCGCATTCGGTGCATTTGTAATTGCGATCGCGATGAGCGCGCTGAACATGCAACATTAGAGCTTGACGTAATGGGAACGTACGTTCGCATTGCTCGCATGCATGCACTCTGATCTCTCCCGGCTCTAGTTTTCTCTCCTCTTTAATGTTACTCACTTCCTGTTCACCCTCACTGCCTCCATCCTGTTCCTCTTCGTAAAGATGCTCTTCGTTGGCATTCTGTTTTTCATTTTGTCGCTCCCTTTCCCTCTCCCTCTCTCTTTCTCTGGTCTCACGTCTAGTATCTCTACTATCGTTATCAGAAGTGCGTTGCTTTTTTGAAATCTCGTTCTGTGACCTAGACTCGACGGGTCTCTTGCTGCCAATTTCCGTCGGAGGATCATTGGGAATAGGAGGGAAGGGTCTCGGCAATACTCCAGACAGAGGGTAGTCTCTCAATGCTTCGTCAGCCTTTTTGCATTGCAACTTAAATTTATACGAGCGATCCAGATTCCAACGACACATATTGCAGATCATCTGCGGCATCCCGTCTGCAGCATAGACCTATCAAGAAACAAGATGTGGTGGATCGTTAGCAACGTGCTTACCTATCAAGGATCCGGAAAGAAGTGTCTTCGGTGTTGAACGTTCAGGAGTTGTAGGAGAGGTTGGATTTACATAATTTTTGTATTATAAATTCTCAAAGTTACATATACCTACTATAAATCTTGTAAATTATAATTTACATATATTAAAGTGCTGTATATAATATAGACACTATAAATACATATAAATACACATAACTGCACTACAATTTTGTATATATAATGTAAAAATTCGTTGAATTTTTTTAAAGAATTAAAAGATGCTCACGAAAAGATAGGAAAAATAATAAAATATGTATATTACACCTGGGTAATATTAATAAAATAATTAAATGCCATAATGGAAAATTAGAACACAAATATTGAATACAATATATATAATTTTCTTATTTATTTGCAAAAGAACATTATATTCTTATATAGAACATTATAAACGAATATATAAAATGAGGCTCGAAAAAATCTATCAGTGAAAAATGTAAAAAAGCCTATCCAAGTCTATATTAGCTGTTCGAATGCACAGAAAATTCTTTATTTTTGTGAATGTAACAAAACGAATAAAATATATAATATGTTTCAATTTGAGTCCTTATCAATATAAATTATAAATCGAAATTACATAAACAACGCAAATTCCAAGTTGATGATTCCCGACAACTTAGTTTAATTCGTTCTTCTTTATCCAAATGCCAAATTAGCTATGTAATGAATAGCCCAATGATTATCAAAAATATTAACTTATACTAGTACTTATTAATAGTAATAAAAAAACTTACATAAAGTAAACTTACATAAAGTAAAACCGAAGTCATATACATTGCGTCACTGAATAGAATCACATCGCTCATCAGATTGTCAGATTTACTGTGTAGTTATTAAAAAGAAACACGAAATCGAAAAATTAAAGAATTATTAAAATCATTTGTCTGAATTTTTAATTATATCAACTTACATATAAGCGTTTTCTCACGACTCGATGTAAAGGTCTTGTCGACAGTCAGAGATACAATGAAAGTTAAAATAATAAAGTCAAGTAGTTATTGAAATAAAAATAAAAATAAAAACAAAAGAAGGTAAAATCAACGTCACAATTTGTAAACAAATTCATGTATAGTCCAAAGAATACGTATTGTTCTAAATTCAAACTCTGTTTCTGTCTTTATATGGATCGCTTTCGAATTGAAGAATTGAAACATACATTTTATTCTTTTTGTTACATTCACACAAAAATAAAGAATTTTCTGTGCATCTGATGTAGGCTCGGATAAGCTTTTTTACATTTTTCACTGATAGAACATTATTTACATAATTTTTCTATTTTTTGAATTTTCATTTAAACAGAATGTAATGTATGTATAATACATAACATACTCGATAAAAATATAGATAAAATAAAATTATAATAATACAAGAGATATATATAACAATAGAAAAATAAAATGCAAAAAAGTGATAGTATTTAACTTAAAATATTAAATAATAAATCTCTTTAATGTATTATTAATAGTACACTAAATAAATAGATTCTATTTCTTAATATTATATATTTATGTTCAGGATTGCCACAAATTTCGTAACTTTTCCCTGAATTTCAGACTAAATTTCATAATTTTCCTTGATGCTTCACATCAATAATATTTAAAATGTTTTTGTATTTTCATCCCGATTTAGAAACCGTAAAATATTTTGTTGAGAGAACAATTTAACATAGCAATGTAAATTACTTATTGCTGACACTGCTTGCTTAATTGCTAAGTTGATAGTAAATATTCTCAAACTGCGTAAATGTGATATAAACATATTAAATTTTTTTTAAATCAAGAATTTTAATTTTCTAAAAAATTTTTCAAAATTTCCTAACCGTTTTCAATTTTCTTGATATTTTATAATCTTGATTTTGTATAAAAGGGATCTTATACGGTCAATAATAATGACGGTATATATAATATTTTTTGTATTTTTACAACCTTATACGATCATTAAACATGATATATTTCACTTTAAGTTGACGTACATTATCAATTGTATTGTAATATACTGTGATAGAGTTTAATAAAGCAATACTGGCTCGAAAATCAAGATCTAGATCAGCGTTCTATGTCAATTCATCCCATAATATTAACCACACATAATCAGTCACCACACATAATATTGTCAGTATTTGTTAATACTGACAATATTATTATTGACTCTGTAGGATTATCTTTTCCGGACAACATGCATGTCTGGGAATGTCCAAAAGATATCTTTAAAACGTCTCAATTTTAGATTTTTTATGATTTTTTTGTCTAAATTCAGTTTCCATTAAAACGCGAAAAATACTAAAGCAATAAATATTAAAGCATTTATAAATATGAACAAATAGAATACTTCATCAACAATCGTTGGATAAAATCTTAATAAAATTTTACTTTATAACAAAAAACAAATTTGTTTTCTTACATTTAAACTATTTTTTAATAAAAATAAATCATCGTCGCGCTCAAAGGTTCCGACTCTGAGAAACTTCGAAAAGAAAAAGAAATCAGGCGGGAAACGCAAATGAAACGTCCTCTCTTTGCAATCGCCGGAATCGCGCCATCAAATCGGTCGACAATATCACTACCTATATTACCATACGATCGTACATCAACTCACTTCGTGACAACAAAAGCACACCCCTCGCAGCAACTCGCCCCTGCCCCCTTCCACTTTCGCGCTACCTAATCAAACCCCTCTCCTCGATACAAGAACGGTGGAATCGGGTGTGATCACGCGCGTGTTACCCGCGAGGAGAACTCGACGGGGCATCTCCGGCGGTCGATGCCGCCAACAAGCCGTTGAGGGTACTCACCTCGATGGCGACGCAGGACATGATCTGCAACGCGAGCGGCACCTGGAACGGCTTGTTGTGGTCACGCTCATAGATGAAGCTTAGAGGCTCCGAATCCGTTAAGCAAAATCGGCAGACGCGCCGCGAGCGTAACGGCGCCGGCCTGTTCTCCATGTCTGCCGGCGTCTCTTTTCGCTCTCGCCGCCTCCTCCTCCTCCTTCTTCTCTTCTTCTTCCTCTTTGGTAGCGTGTTCCGATCCACTCCAACGGGCTCACCGATGTCTCGTCCCCGCTCGGCAATTCCACGCGATTAACTACTCGAGTACTTAAAGCAACTCTACCACCCGACCACCGAGAGTATGAAATTCGCAGACGAACTCGCGCGGCTGCTACTTCGACTCACTCGTTAGTTGCTCGTTCGCCCGCTCGCTTAGCTCGCTCGCTCACTCGCTCAACGACGCCGAGCGTCGGTAAGCGTCGTTATTTCGACTTTCTCACCGGGGAATAGCGGGTACGCCGACACGGCGCTTTATAATGGCGGAAGAACGCGGAACAGGCTGGCCAAACGCGCGTAGAGAAGACGCCGTCGTCTTTGCACAGTGGCGCTGAGCAAATGTCGCTTGGACACGTGGCGCGGATGAGCTACTCGGCCGATAAAGTAGGGACCACGTTTGCCATTGATCAGTATCGGAACAATTTTAGTAATATCCTTTACAAAGAGATGGCGCACCTATCCTCGTTTTTATCCGCGCTTTTTTCACTACTTCATTATATTTTTTTGCATGTTTTTGCGTATCAGTAAACAGACATAATAGAGCATTCTACACAAATTTGCATAGTCATATAAACATATGAAAATCATAAAGAAAATCATCCAATCATATTTTACGTTTGCCTTTATGACAAAAATGTGATTGGATTTTCTTTATGCATATGTAGCTATGTAAGTTGTCTGGAATGGCCCTAAGGAGCTTCACATAATAAAAGGAATAGAGAATGAAGGAATAGAGAACAGAGAATAAGAATTTCAATTTATCAGAAACTATATAATCCACATTACATGATTTCTAATAGGTTGAAATTCTTATTCTCTGTTCCTTTTATTGTGTGAAGCTTCTAAGGATTTATCCACACAATATTTTATCATAATATATAATAATAATATAGAAAACATATAATATTCATCATATTTTTTATCATATATCCCGTTACATTTTTCTGCTTTTTTTCTCCTACGAATATGACACATCTACTCTGAATGATCCGATGCTGCAATCACATGTATGGTAGGTGCCGCAGCCATAGACGTAATAAGAAGCCAGTTCATTTTGGCTGAACTTTTGCATCAGTTCATCTTTCTTCCTTTTCTCTCCAGGAGGAAAGAAGAGAAAGAAAAATGAATTAGTGCAAAAATTCAGCCAAAAGAACTGAGCCAAAGAAATTGGTCTATTAATACACCGAGCTTGTCCTCTACTTTGGCGTGAAGATCAGGTAAAAAAGGACAGAGAGCAGATGTTGTAGCTTTCTCTCTCTGTCATGCTCTCGAGCATGTTACTTTTTTTGTCTCTCACATTCAACTATCTCTCTATTTTTCTTTTTTTTTACACCTTGCTTCCTCTCCTCCGCTCTTTCCTCATAAGAAAGAGAAAGTTCCACGGCATCCATTGTCTGTCCTTTTCTATCTAGACTTCACGTTTCAAACCTCACCTCGATCTATTCTAATAGGGATATATCCACACAAATTTGCGTAGGTATAAACATATGCATAAAGAAAATTATTCAATCACCATAATCTATTATTATATTTAATAAATATGAGAATACACATAAAAAATGCAATAAACATAATAATCGCATTCAACAGATTCAACTATTACAGAGCAGATCAATGAGCTTCGCAGCTATTGATGTATTCTTTTAGATTATTCAATAGCAGTGAACACTCACGGATCCGCAACGCAATAATTGAGTCTGCTGAATTGCGACTAATGTAATATATTAAAACATAACAATATAAAATATAGTATAATATTTTAAGCAAATATTTTAAATATTATTACCGTATTTTTACACAACTATGGTCCAATGACGCAACTATGACTCAAATACCCGAGCACAAGAATACACCGATTTGGCAATTATTTACGTATTAAATGATAAAGAGTAGATTGAATAATATTGTTATGGTATTGGAAAATAGTCTTTCCGCATTTTTTTCATGTGAATTAAACCATATTTGTATGATTTTATATCATTGTGTGAAATTACGTGTTATAATTAATTAATTAATTATTTATGAATATATATAATGTTCAATTTGTGTACACATATTTCATTACGTATAAAAAGAAAATTAACTTACTAAAAATTTTTGAAGTAAAAGATATTAATCTAGGAATGGTACTTACTGGCCTAGTCAGTGTCGAGTAAATAGTATTTATGAGTTCACCATAGGGATTACGTGTGATTCGTACGTCTCCAAACTAATGATTTGGAGGTAGTGATAACCGTGGATTGACCAAAGTATTTCAAATTGGGCAAAGGGCCTGTTAAATCTGCTCAGAGAGGTCAGATAAGATTCTGCATTGCTATTGACTGCAGCACTGTTTTTAACTTTAGATGGCGATGCCGACTTAAAAATGTCCATGTTGGCATCGGAATCATTGTTGAGAACTACCACCCTCTTTGCATCGTTCTCATCATCGCGATCATCATCACCAAAATTATCGAGCTCGAGATGCAGTTTGTTGCCTTCGTCGAGCTTCGAATTCGTTCAATGTTTTATTCGGAATAAACTGATAGATTTCCATCAGCGGTAGCATCTTTGTCGCCATCAGCACTCGAGCGTTATTATACGTTTTCACTAAAATCAATCAATGGTGCTGTTACCAGCGTAGATTACTAACATATGCGTTTTCAGCAAAGTTTGAGTCCTTCTTGAAAACATCTCTATCAGTTCCTAATGACGGCGTTGCCTGGACGCACCTAAAAGAGTGCATATAAAAGTATGAATAAGACCGTACTTGTCGATGTCGGTATGGTAAAACCACTAATTGTAGATCATTCATTAAAAAAAAATTTATATTTTTATCCAGAACAGTATCAAACAATTAATAAAATATTTAATAATTATAATTGATCATGAAGATTACATTATGTATGATTTTATTTTATTACCGTTTGATATATTTCAATTTGTATGAAAAAGTAGTGACAAATATTTACAATTAGACCGCATGTACTAATTTCGGATCAAACGATTTATCTTTTACTACATCTCATAAAAATAACAAAAATGATTTGCCATGCAATATCGCAATACATTTAACGAAATTATAATTGATTATTTATACATTATCAATGCATCTAATTCTAAGATCTTCTGGATCATAATGCAACCTTAATATATTCAAATTATGAATATTAAGATTTAAATTTTTACATATAGACATATATATATATATATATTTTTTTTTTATATTCTATTTTGATACTTAAAACAAACAGGTCTTTTCGAGATGGCATCAATTGTAAAATTTGACAAGTATTTAAACATTTTTATAATAAATTTATACAATAAAAGTATCGTTATAACACAATGATTAAACAATCGTGGAAATATTTAATCTCAACTGAGCATAACGTTGATTTTTTTCCATGAAATCTAATGCTACTTACTACTTATTATAAAAGCTATAAAGAAATTCTTATTTCTGAAGAAACATATGTTAGGTAATCTTTCACATTTAATTAGTAAACTCACATTTAATTAGTAAATAAAAATGTGTAGCACTGTTTTTAATAAATTAAAATCAATTAACATTTGAGTGAGATAAAACAAATGCTAAAGAATCTTGTAATATGTATCATTTAAATGGAAAATGCTACAATTATTTAAAATAAAGGAGAATCCGGAACTAGTGAGTGATTCACATTTAATGCTTTTACCCTATCTCCAAAACTCGATCTTTAAAATATGAACCAAATGCTAAATTCAAAAGAATGTTAACTATTAAGATGATAGAAAGTGTTATTATCCTAACATTTTTTCAAATGCACCGTTCTTATAGAAATTGTGTGGACAATAATTTTTAATCAAAAAATTGTCATAGAAAACTCTTCCTTCAAATGATCAAATGTGCAAAGTATTTTGCACAAAAATTGACGGACGGAGAAGAAGCATTTTATAGGAAATTTTGTAAGTTTTAGTTTAATATGTTCTATTTTTTACGTTAGACTTTTAACAATTAAGAAATTTACAAAGAAGAAGCAATAAATATTGTTTTTTTTTAATGTTGAAAAAAAGCAATCTTTCACGAAGTTTTTCCAAAAATAAATTTTGAAGAAGATATGCAACTAGGATCGTAATATATAAATATATATAAACCTTGAGACAAAAGCATATTATTCTTCCCAGTTCGATTTCACCTATATTGATAAATAAATCTATATTTAAATGTAAATTGAAGATCCCATACAATATTTTTAAAACACCATATCTCGTGAACTATTAGTCGTACGTTAAAAAAATATTTTCAAGCTAATTACATAAAATGTAAAACTGTTCATGTACATAATTCACATACGATAAGTCACATGTAAATTATTTGTTAAAATGTATTATAATTTGAATAATTTTTTTGAATAATTTTGAATAATTTTTAATTAATCTTTGATTAATGTTCCAAAGTACATGTTAAAAATTACAGTTTTTGAAATTGAAACAAATAGAAATGAATTCATGTGCTCATTGCTAAATTCTGATTCTTCGGATAATGGGTACATATAACTTTGCTTTCTATTTTCATTCTGCTGCAACGTATGTATACACAAGCCACTGGTATTGACGTTCGTTTGACAATATATAACAGACAGAATGAAAAAGTATCAGCTAGAGTGATGATTAAAAAACTGCCCATTCTACTAGCAACAAAATTGAAATATATAGAAATCTTATTTTGAGTTCTCCGAACGGATTGTATTGTATATATAATTTATAGTTTCTTGCACGTCGATATAAATTCAAAGGGAAACCGAAAGCTGTAATTATTATATTACAAAACTGGATTCACCTGCTAAATCGGAGTATCATAAGGCTGAATATAGGTGAGATTGGGTGGAGAAAACTCAGCAAAAAAAAAGGCGATTTCAATTAAAATATGCGTGAGACATTATTTAGTGTGATGATAATCTCTTAAGAGAAATGTTATAATATATTTTCTACAAAGAAAAATTAAGATTCTTTATATGATCCTCAGTAATTTCTCATTGTTAATTGTTTTGTCTTTCAAATTTAGAGTCATTAGACTAAGAAATAGTTTAACAATTTTGTTAATATCTGATCTGGAAGAAGCGAATAATGACAATATGAAATATAAAGATTATGAAGAAAATTGTTCTTCAGCTAACCGAGTTAAAAAAGACGTGTGGAAGGTATAAACAAGATAATTCAGTTAGTTACTTTTTGGATATTTCTATCGTATTATTTTTTATTATCTGTTATTAAAAATTTATTGAGATAATATATAACGGAGATGGATTTATAAAATCATAAAAAATAAATAATCTATCTCTTTAAAACTGAGTTCAGAAGCGCATTATTAGTGCTATTGTATCGATTTCTCTTTATTGTTCATCACGTGAAAGGATAAAGTGTCGCAATGCCGCTAATAGCATATTCTTTCAGTAATGCTTGATACTGGATGCGTTTCGTGTTATGCATGAAGCATAATGCATCATTTTATTCTTCTTTATTATTTTATGAATAACAAGGGCAAATGATGTATCATACGTTTCATGCGTAATTCGAAACGCACCCATTACCAGGAATGCTTGTTTGAAAAACATGAACTCCTTTATTATCTGTAAATCAGTGTTCATGGATTCGTTTCGAAATGTGTAAACTGTTCATCTCTCACTATTTTTTGTGCTTAATGTATCAATTTAACATTCTGATATGCAACACAAAATAAGTATATAAATATATATGTATATATATATATTTTTTTTTTTAAACTCTAGGCATCTTATGTGTGAGAGTAGGCAGTTTTAACGATCCACCGGAAGTTTCAGGCCTGGCACATTTCCTTCATGGTTTTTATGGGATCCGAAAAATATCCAAATGTATTATTAAAATACGATAAGTGAATTTTTTATGAAATACATTTTTTGTACATTTTTTATGAAATACAATTAAAGCTCTCATTCCTTTTAGTGTACTTTTCAATTTTGGATAAAGAAAGATGTCATCACGCGGGAGCGAGAGATCATACAAAGAGGTATATAAATCATAATAGTAATGATGTTGCTAAAACTTGCGTTTTTTTATTGCTCCATGTTCACATAAAGTTTCAGTTGGATTTATCTAGTGAAAAATACAAAGGAACGATTATTGTCTTTTATTGCTCAAACTGATCATCTACCCAGTAAGTTTCTTCGAGGCAATTCAACAGCTTTAAAAAATAATAGCTTTGGACATAGACGATGACAAGTTATACGAAAAGCTGTACAAATTCAGAAAACGCCATTATAGTCCTCACAGAATGACGCTAGCTATACAGGCAATTATAATATGTTAAAATTGCGATGAACAATTGATTTCTTATTAAATATGGTTAATCTATAACACGTACATCTGTTTATAGGCAAGATTACCGCTAGATTGGAAATGTATGTCCGAACCTACTTTAGTGGTATAACTGTAACTGGCTATCTTCCGATGATTTTAACATTTAAAAACGGCGATTCATTTGATACTGACGCTTCTAAAAAAAATGTATATTATTAAATGCATGATATCATCCAAGTATGTAACTTGGACACACAAATTCAAAAAAATCTGTGTGTACTGAACAAACGCATATAAAAATAAAACTTATCTTTTATAGCTACATGTAACATGGGCTTTGTCTTCATTACTTAATTTGTACAGAAGTAAACCAAATAAATATATTTCATGGATTATTGAACATAAAGGAAGTAATTCTTTAACTAGTTTAACTAGTTATCTACGTAAAAAAATGTGGGGCCTTGATGTGTTTTGTAATAACTGTGATAACGATAATGATTTCGGATACAACTCTACATACGTTTTATTTGAGATTATAGTAGAATTCACCGATGAGGGACTAAAACGTCTGTGAGACATTCTACATGCAATATTTTCCTTTATAAAATTAATAAAAAGGACGAGTTCACAAGAAAGAATTTATAATGAGCTTTATAAGATTGAAAATAATAATTTTAGATAAATCAATTTAGAAATAAGTAGATATGTAGAAGATAAAAATACTTAGATTAGAATACATAAGATGCCACTTATATATTTTTAAAATTTTTTAATAAGCATGGTGATGTGTTTGATTTATGTAAGAAAATGCATTTCTATCAGCCGCGTGATTATCTAACTGAAAAAATATTTATTTTGAATATAACCCAGAAGCTATAAAAAATGTTTGAATTTTTTGATGCCAGAGATGGCGAAGATCATGATCTTCAACGATGATGTTGCATTAAATATAGTCGAACCTCATTTCGAAATTAATTATAAAGATATCGAGTTACCAAAAGAATGGATCGAACGCTGGAAATCTATCGAGCCATTGCCTGATTTTAATTTACCATCATGCAATAAATTTCTTACTAATAATTTCTCTATCATATCGGTATCAGCAGAAAATTCGAAATATCCTGTAAAAATACACTATGATTATATGTCAGAGATTTGGTTTCATCCGAAGTTTTATTGGCCGATGTGTCATATAAATCTTCATATTTATTCTTTTCTGAATCCTCAAATAACAAAAAAGTAAATAATAGCTTGGACATGTAAAAATATTTATATACCATATTATATTACAATAGTACTACAACGTCTATCGATCTTATATATACCTATTATAAACTCTAACTTGTAATTATTACGTGTTGTGATTTTTATAAATTAATTTGTTATTAAATTTATATATAATCGTCGGCTTGTTAAGTGCCCTTTTAAAGATTTTATAATTGACGATTCGCAGCATAATAGTGCTACAAATCATATTACTGACGTAAACTATTACAAAAGTATTACTTGTAATTATTTATTACCTGCAGATTATAAACGAGGAAAGTAATCTTGTCATCTTTAAAGCGCTTAATAAGTGATATTTAAATAATAATGATACATGATTGATAAAACTGTAATATTATTCTTTTAAACTTCTTATTTTAATTTATCATATCAATTATTTTCGATTTCATAAACTTATTATATAATTCATTTTATTACATTTTATGTTTTATTAATAAATTAGTTCGTTTTCCAATTTCTTCTATTTAACACCTGTATTTGTTGCAACGCAATAATTCACGTTCTTGTTCATTTTATTTACAAAAAAAAATACGCAATACAAATACAATATGCGATATAAAATATATTATAATCTTTAAATTATTTACAACGGTGTCGTTTGATTGTAATTGTCGCCAATGTTTTATTATCGAATATTTTCATGATATATATTTATAATTGTTTTACTGATGGAAATTTCTTTCTTGTTTGTTCTATTAGCAATAACATGCATTGGCTCATTTATTACAGAATTGCAAATATAAAATTAGAGAACTGTTATTATATTAAAATACAGATTTGCAGCGCTGAAATTTTTATTTTTAATAATCCTATATCAATAAATTTACTAACATTTATTTTTAAATATAGGTTTTTTTAAATTTAAGATGTTTCTTATTAGAAATATTAAGTAAACATAATATTAATTTATAAATTTAACTAACATAAAGGACTCTTAATGACAAAACAGTATGATGATAAGAACGGACATGTAAAAATAAATAAAAAATTAAACGGCAAATTGAAAAAAGCTCTTTCAAAAAACTATGTTAAATAAGAACTATTTTTATTAAATAAGAATTTAAACGTCTGTAAAGAAATGAGAAAAATAAATTTGCTATAATATTATTTATAAATAAAAGCAAATATTTACCACATCTCACTTTCTTGATTTTGTACATTTTAAATGTGAAGATATTACCTGCATTATAAATATAATTATAAGTCACTAAAAAGTATATAATAAAAAGAAAAACAATGCAAAGATTCTCCTCTTTTCTTTCTTATTTTCCTACGTTTAATGCATCAATTAATCTTAGAAAATAACAACGAAAAACAAATCGATTATCGCAATTTCTGATTATCTGATGTAACTTCACATGTCTGTTCATGACACTGTTTTTAGAAAAATACGCGTTTTAATTTTATACGATATACACATTTTAAATTTTGAAAACTTTTTTTAAGTAATTTTACTCGCATGTGTCAAAAATGTGGCGATTTTTTCGCAAAGTGCAACAGCAGCGCAATCGCGATTTGGATGCTCTTCGTCAGGATATTGACACGGATGTGCATATTAAATCAGCAGCGGATCTACTGCAAAGCTTACAAGTGGATTCTGAACGAGGTTTGTCTACAATTGTTGCGAGAAATCGTTTACGAGATCAGGGGCCAAACGCATTAACTCCGCCAAAAAAAACCTTGGAGATTCAGAAAATCTTGCATCGATTCTGCGGAGGATTTTCCTTATTAATATGGGTAGCAATTTTTTATTTTTCTTATTACGAACTTTTTCTATTTTGAAAACAATATTAAATTGAAGTATACAAAAAGAAAAAAAAGAAATATATTTAATTTGCAGGTAGGTGCCAGTTTGTGCTTTGGCAATTATTTCTTGGAATTGAATACTTATGGTGAAGCTTCCGAGGATCACCTCTGGATCGGTTTAGTTCTTATTGTACTGATCATGATCACTGGCGTGTTCAGTTACTATCAAGACACTAAGAGTTCACGCATCATGGAATCGTTCCAGCAGATGATACCGCAATGTGCCAAGGTTTTACGGGATAGTGAGAGAAAGGAGTTGCTGGCGACCGAGCTGGTGGTCGGCGACATCGTCCTGTTAGAGACCGGTGACCAGGTACCTGCTGACATTAGGATCCTGGAATGTCAAGGTGAAGTATGTCCTGCCACCATATCTCGTGGACTTCTTGCTGTTCTTAGATGGAAAAAAAACAAGCCTTTCTTTTGTGCGAATTCGCATTCACAAGCGACTCGCGACAATTTCTCGTATTGTTTCATCGATAGAAAGTTCTTCCAGAGAAGAATTATATTTGAAAAAAAAAAACATAAATAACGGAACTGAAAAAGACAGAAAACCGGAAATACAACACAACAATTTTTCAACTTTTATCACCCAACAAGTTTTGTTTTTTCTGTTTAGATAATTAAATTAATGTGAGAAATTAATCTCTATCTAATAATTTTTCTATTACACTTCTAACTTGTATTGTGAACACATTAATTAAATTCAATTACAGTTAACGAAATCTTATAAAAATATAATAAAAATTGTAAGTTTAATAATTTGTAAAAAATAATTTTGTCATTTTAATAAAGGTTTGAAAGTCGATAATGCATCAATTACGGGTGAATCGATACCATTGATACGAATGGCGAACATTCCGCAAACCGGAAGTGTTATTCAAGCGAAGAACATGGTATTCTTTTCTACAAATGTTGTCGAAGGTACACTGTTTAAAAAAAAGAAAAATATTTTACCATAATATGATCTAAAAAATTTATTTCTCATGAGCATAAAAAATATACAAATTATAGTTTATATAAATCTTAATTTTTAATAATTAAAAAATTTATTACTTTCAATATTTTATTTTATTTTATTTAAAAAACATATTAAATGACTATTAAATTCAGATTTAGTGAATAATTGTTACATAAAATATAATTAATTCTTAGGCAGCGGAAAAGGCGTTGTAGTGGCTTGTGGCGATCATACTGTAATGGGCAGAGTAGTCAAGTTAACTTCAAGATTACCTACCCGACCTACGCCTCTCTCGAGGGAAATACACCGCTTCATAAAACTAGTCTCATGCTGGGCCATTTTCCTAGGAGTTTCGTTCTTTACTATGTCCATAGCGATGGGACATGACTGGATCGATTCAGTGTTGTTTCTGATTGGTATCATCGTGGCGAATGTGCCGGAGGGCATCGTCGCCACGATGACGGTTAGCCTGACTTTGACCGCCAAGAGGATGGCCAGTAAGAATTGCTTAGTAAAGAATCTCGAGGCTGTCGAAACTTTGGGATGCACTGCCGTTATCTGCAGCGACAAGACTGGCACTCTTACGCAAAATAAAATGACTGTACGATCCATTTCCTCTTTTGCGAAAAACTATTGCAAAAGGATGCATAGTATCTATAGATTTGCTCATTTAGTTTCTTCCATTTTTTACATTTCACATTTCTTTGTTATTCTGAACGTGCGTGCATACATATATAATTGTAACGTTTTTAGTACATAATTATAATTGTAATCAACTTTATATAATTATAATTAACTTTATTCTATAATTATGTATGTTACATTTATTTTTAAATATTATAGGTATTTACCTCATGATAATTATACTTATAGTAGAATATATTCTTTTATTAACCCTATATTGTTTTATCTATTATTCGTCTCTGGTATATTCTTTTTGCAATATATTCTTTTGCAAATAGAATTGCGCAGCATTATCTTTTATGTAAACGGTGTTTCACTTTAATAACATTGATCATTTAACATTTCTCACTTTGAATATACGATCGAGTTCCTGCCATCGCAATTGTGCAACTTCAGGTGCGACACGTGTGGTACAACGGTCAACTGTGCGAGGTGATGTCGTCAGACACGTGGAGGAAATATATCAATGATCCGGGTTTCAAAAATCTGGCCAGAGTAGCGAGTCTCTGTAATCGCGCCGAATGGGCACCGATACTCAAGGATGAACCTCTGCCACCATTAAATAAAAGAAAAATCTTAGGAGACGCCTCGGATGCGGCTTTATTAAGATGTATGGAGATCCTTGTAAAAGGAGGAACTGATTCCTTCAGAAAAAATTATGTTAAAGTAAATAAGTCTAATTAAATTTTTTGATTGAGTAAAAGAATTATATTTAATATGTCAATCGTAAATTTAATCCATTGAAAAATTATCTTCTTTTAAGCTTACTTCAATATATTATGTCAACTTCTAATTTTTAATCTTGACAGATTTCCTAGTAAATTATATATTTAAATTTGTTTCAAAATAAATCTTATTTTATCCAAATTTAAAAAATAATAGATACATGCAATAGATTAAAAAATAATAACTAATATATAAATATTAAAATAAAAATAAAGTTTATTATTGTATCATAAATAAAATTGTTATCTTGATTCTTTAGATATTGGAGATTCCTTTTAATTCGACTGACAAATTTCAAGCGAACATACATTTATTTCGCAGCAAGTATCTTATATCCTTCAAAGGCGCTCCAGAACGTGTTCTCGAACGTTGTTCGACTGTAGCATTCGGTAACGAGACTAAAGATTTGAACGAAGAGATAAGATCAGCGTACACGGAATCTTGTTATATTCTGGCGAACAACGGTGAACGCGTTCTCGGCTTTGCCGATCTCGAACTTTCGACCAAGGCTTTCCCCGTGGGTTATCACTTCGAGGCCGATCCTCCAAATTTCCCTCTTGAAAATTTAAGATTGGTATTTCTTTAATATTTAATTTTTCTCTACAACTATTCTTTAAATTATTACTACTTAAGATTTTTTAACTTCAATTCTTGGATTTTAATTTTTTTATCAACAGTTACTTTCTAAACAAAATGTATTTTTTTATGATAGATCGGTCTAATAGCCATGATGGACCCGCCACGGCCAGCTGTTCCTGATGCCGTGTACAAATGTCGTTGCGCCGGCATCAAAGTTATCATGGTGACCGGTGATCATCCTGATACCGCCAAAGCGATTGCCAAGTATGTTGGCATCATTACCGACCACGATGACTATGCCAACAGCAACCGGAAGCAGGATATTGTAGTGACTGGTACACAATTACGAGATTTGTTGCCGGAACAACTGGACCAACTGATTAGGCAACATCAGGAGATTGTATTCGCCAGGACATCACCGGTGCAAAAACTGCAGATCGTTGAAAGCTGCCAGCGGTTGCATTTGATTACCGCGGTTACCGGCGATGGTGTCAATGACTCACCAGCCCTCAAGAAAGCTGACATCGGTATCGCAATGGGCATCACAGGTGGCATCATAGAAAAAAATATGAATATATAATTAATGGCAAAATTTCTAAAAAATAAATCTAAATATTCTTTTTATTGCTTTTAAAATAAAAATTTGTGGAGAATTTAAATTCTCTCGCGTACTCTCTTAAATTCTTTAATTTCAGTAAACGATTGCTGTAACGGCTGTCTAACTCTAATTATGATTGTCAGGATCCGATGTGAGTAAGCAAGTAGCGGACTTAATATTACTAGATGACAATTTTGCTTCGATAGTGACAGGCATTGAAGAGGGTCGGCGAATATTTGATAATCTCAAGTCGAGCATCGCGTATACTTTGGCGAGCAACGTGCCGGAAATAACGCCTTTTTTAGCATTCATTGTTCTCGGGATTCCTCTACCGGTCGGTGTAATTTGTATACTATGCATCGATCTGGGAACAGACATGTGGCCAGCAATTGCTTTGGCTTACGAGAAATCTGAATCGGATATAATGTTGAGGTATTAAATGTACAAAGCATTCCTTATAATATACAAAATCATAAAGATTATATCATGAAGAAATATTTGGTCCAATGTAAAAAATTAGCAATCTTTAAATGTAAATATTTAAACAAATCTCTCTTCGCGGGAAACAAATAAAATTCAAGTAAAAAATAAAACTCTATTTTCTTCGATTAGATTTGGCTAAATTTTAATTAACCAAAATTTAATTTATAAGTTTGATTATCAAGATTTAAAATGGAATATTAGATAAACTACTAAAATATTTAAATATCTAATCTTCTCTCATTCCTATTTTTTCTTCTCAGAAAGCCCAGAATACCTCAAAGCGATCATCTAGTTAGCCGAAAATTAATCTTCATGGCTTACGGTCAGATTGGTGTGATTGAAGCGTGCGCGGGTTTCTTCACGTATTTCGTGGTGATGGCGGAACATGGTTTTCTGCCGAAACGACTTCTGGGTTTAAGATCAATGTGGGATAGTTCGGTAGTGAATGACTTGGAAGATAGTTTTGGACAGGAATGGACTTATCAACAACGTAAGGTCCTCGAGTACACTTGTCACACCGCTTTCTTTGTTAGCATCGTGATTGCTCAAGTGGCAGATGCAATGGTTTGTAAAACTCGCCGCAACTCATTACTGCGCCAGGGTATGGGTAACTGGGTCCTGAATTTGGGTCTGCTCCTTGAAATCGTCCTGGCTTGTGTAGTTTGCTACGCGCCCTACATGGATCGCATCCTGAAGACGTATTCTTTAAAGCCAGAGTGGTGGTTACTTGGTGTACCGTACGCTATTATAATATTAATTTATGAGGAGTTGAGGAAATGGTGGATTAGAAGACATCCAGGTGGCTGGTGGGATAAAGAGACTTCATATTAGGTGAGATCGATAAAAGACGTCTTATAATAATCCCTGACGGAAAAATTTTTATGAAACACTTCATAGATTAAGACAAGATTTTAGGCATTATTAGTTTTTCATTCGTAGTGGAACATAAAACGGTGTTATTTGTTTGAAAAAAACCTAGAAATCTTCCGCTCTTAAACACTCTCTTTATGAATATCTATGAAAAATTAAGAATTTTTAAGATTTTCTCTCAATCTGTGTAATTTTTCTGTATTTTTTCGTAAAAATTTTTTTTCGGAATTTAAATAAAAATTTAAAAAATCCAGTCATCATTAATCATAATTAATCTGATCTTATTACAAGTTTCCAAAAATTTTAAAATAAAATTTTGAAAAAATAAATAAAATTGATTAAAGATATACATTTTAACTATATTTATATTTAAACTTAACTTAGAGACCTATTTATTGAAGGATGAGAGAAATATATTCATATTGCATTCCTAAACACCAAGATGCAAAAAAAACTAGTTTCGTAAATAACGACCTTTAACGCGGGTCTCTACCCAGTCGTGACTTCTTGAAATCATCTGCAAATAATACTTCACCTTTCTAAATAAACTACCGCAAGTACATCATAAATTATGTGCAAAACAATTGAATAAATTGCATTATTAAGATACAAATATAAGAAAATATTTAAATATTTCCTTATATATATATATATATTTTTCTAAAAATGAAAGATTCTAGAATTTCTAGAATCTCTTTTAGAAATGATTGAAAATACAAAAATTAATTTTATATTAATACAAATTTTATT